TTTAAGATTCCGTTAACGTTGGTACGCCGTTTCAGCCGATTTTGAACGGATATTCTCGCTAGTTAGTGTCCTCGAGCCGGAGATGGGTGATAGTTCGCAGGATGTGTTCTGCGCCGTCAATTTTCTGCTTGCGCGATTTACGATTCGCATAAGACCGATTTTGCCTTCGTTTTCGGCAGAGCCCGCGAAGCGCGAATTAGAATACTTCAGATTTTAAAGTTGGAGATCCAAGCAGATTTTTTAACAACCCGTTTGAGAGAAGAAATTAAAAAAACTCTTACTTTTAAAGTCACCGACGTCTTCATGTGGACTGACAGTATCACTGTTCTGCAGTGGCTTGATTCCTGTACCAAAGTAATTATGTTCGTTGGCAATCGCACTTTTAAGACTCGGGAGTTTACCACCGTAGATCAATGACGTTATACTTAGTAGTGATAACCCAGCTGATACCGGTACAACAGGGGTTTCTCCAGAAGCTCTAAAGGAAAGCAGCTGGGTTAATTGCCCGATTTTACTGAACTAATGGTTGGCCTTTCAAACCAGACACAAGGGTTATCAGTAAAATCAACTGTAAGCCCGTCGTGTGATATTCACTCTTGTCTTGAGAGTGCGTCCATTTTTGTGATCGAAGTTTTTTTGCACGGAAATGCTTACAGTTTTCTGTTCGCCAATTGGGACAAACTTAACTCATTTCTAAAGTACAAACTTGCCGTTGCTTTTTTGTTGCGTCTGCTACCATGCATCAACACTTCCACGCGAACACCATTGAGATAACAGATCCGATGGAGCTTTTTTATTGAAATGAATTTGCCTAATTCTGGTGAAATTCAAAAGGAAAACAGAAAAATTGCATGTCTTCACCGTTCATTGGCCCAGCTGGCATCATTCGCTTTGCTGAATACGATAGTTATCATCCGTTTATACTAGACGCATGTGACCCTTTGATTCGATTGATGATGAGACACTGACACGTTTAGCATTTCCATCAGGACTTGATTTATATGCGTTTGATAGCAAATTTGAAATTCGCCGTTCTGATGTTTCTTTGGTTGCTCCCAAACGTTGAAAACAAAAATTTGATATGATGAAGGTGAAAAGCCAAAACCTGCTGCCCTATTAAGTTTGATCTGCCGGAAGAAAGATTGGGTTACAAGTAAGCCCCTTTCTAAAATACGGGTGTTGATTACTTCGGACCGTTCCTAGTCCTGATAAGCATAGGTACTGAGAAAAAAGTGAGGTTTTTTTTACTTGCCTCACGACTAGAGCCGTACAGAGCGAAGTGGTTTGATGTCTCGACACAAGCTTCCGCCTTATGGGCGTCGAGCGGCTCATTCCTTGGCTTCGTTCGCTCAACTTTTTTCGACCACGTCTTAATTTTTTTTGGGTGCTGAGAAACACTTTATAGCTTGCATAGAGAATTAGAGCAAAATCGCTCTGGTAGTTTTCGCCCATTAAGGATTTAAGTCAAGATTCAATCCATCCAATGCACCACATCAAGTTGGGGTTTGGGAATGATAAGTGAGAAGGCAACTGGAGCGTGAACGAGGCGGATTTAGTGGCTGAGTAGTCATTAAACGCGGAACCAATCACAGCCGCTAGCTCTAAACCACACGATTTAGAGTATTTGACCCAAACGACTTCAATTTTGGCCACCACACAGAGCCAGCTTCATTTCGCTGAGTTTTGAAGAAAACTTCACCATAAAATGCGTTACGCTATGGCACAATCGTACACTTACGCAATTTTGTCACGCTAGTTGAGCAAATTTGTATAATTCCTCATTAAAAGAACAAAGTGGCAGAACAATTCGGACGTCAATTTGAAAGCTGGGGAATTAATTTGGGTTTTTGAGCTCGACAGTCCACATGGGCACTACCAACTCGCTCGTATAATCTAACTACACTACAGCAAAAACGGATGGGCATGATCCACAGTCATTAAACCGTAACGAGCAAACTGACTCGCGCGACTGTTAAGCTTGCTCGCGTCCGGCCGTCTTTAGCGGTGGAGGATGTTTGAGAGCAGATTTAGGCGAGAGTACAATTGTTTATGAACTAACTTGAATATGATTGAACCAAATTCTTAATAGACAAAAGATCTGTAGCTTAGCCCACATACAGAGCGTTCAGGCGGGTTCGATCCCCCATACTTCGACCGTGATACATGTAATAAAAGAAGGTGGTGCCCAATTTCAACGTTTTAAACAGTTTTTTGCTCTAATTCGGTTCAACTTTGGTTAAGGCTGGCCGACAAGAAGAAAAATTTGTCTCAAGGACAATCACAGTTTGTTTTGGCCAGCTTGCGCCAATTTATCATTTAAATCAGTACCAGAAAATTAAAGTTTTGAACATGATTCAGCAGATTTTAGTTTTGCTTATGGATTACGACCCGAAATTTTTTAAAGAACAAAACTTATTGTAATCCCAGTCAAAGAAACCGTAATTCACTATTAAACTTGTGTGCTAAATCTCTTTTAACCATTTTATCATAATCGTTGAAATGTGGCCCTTGAATATTGTGAATTTTGTAGTTAATAATTTGTTTAGTCATATCGTGCACTTCTTTTGGAGCTAACATATTTTAAGTTCAGTTTTTCAGTGAAATAGTAAACAAGAAAAATAGATGGTAATTTTATTTTAGTCATTGTTATTCAGAGTTGCCACGGTATCAGTGCGGTCAGTGCCAAATTAGTATCAAGCTTGATCTCAGTTCCCTATCAGTGCTAGCAAATCAAGATCAGTACCGAAATTTTCATCGCTGTTGCTCACTGAATTATTAAAATGGAAGCAGGTTTACACATTTTTGGTAACCTAAGCAGTTCTTCAAAAACGTTTGGGAAGAGAATTTTCGAGACTTTCTGAAACATTATTTGTTTATACTTGCGATTAGCGTTTTGACACAAAAATTAATGGTCCTCGGAAAAGTCAAAATTTTGATTTGTTGACAGTTTTTTGAAACTTTTTGACTTAATCGAGAATTACCCTGCCAAATGTGGAATTTTCTGCATAAGCGGCCAATTTTTTCGAAACAAAAAGCTATGATTCTTAGAAAAGTCAATTTTCTGATTTGTTGACTGTTTGTGGATTTTTCTCGATAACTACTAACCTGCCAAATCTGAGATCATAGCTTTAATCGACTCAACAGGTTGATGGCAGCTTAGCTTCATAGTTTGCTTTGAAGATTTTTAGAAAAAAGTTATGGCCTTCGCACAAGTGAAAGCTTTGAAACTTTGACCGTTTATTGGAAAATTTTTTCTCCACTCAAGGGAAACCCGATTTTGGGAGTTTGTTCACTTTACCGGGCACGAGACTTGCTTTTACCAGAAAAAAGTTATGGATTTCAGAAAGTCTTTGACCGTTTTTTTTAGAAACTTTTCTTAAAAACTACCCTATTAAATCTGAGATCAAAATTTCAATCGAAAGAAGTGGTTGCACGAAATTTTCCTGCAGATGCAGAAGCTCCTTAAATAATTTTAAAAAAGGTTATGTCTTAGAAAAATTCTAAAATCTGAAAAATTTTAATTATTTTCACTAATTTTATTAGAAACATCTAAGGTTTTGGGCGAAGTCGAATTTTTTGAAATTACACATTTCGTCACGCACCAGTATAACAAACTTTTAAAATATCAAATGCATACCTTCAGCTTAAGCTGGGCCCTAGGTGTACTTCATTGAGACTTAGGAAAGTTTTGGTTCACCAATTTTTTTTTACTTGCTTTTTCTATGATTGTGTTGTATCGCTCCGCTTCGCCTGTGTTTAATTTTTGTTAAGAGAAATTTTTTTCCAAATATATCAGAACCAAAATCAGTGCCGTCAGTGACAGCAATTTTTCGGATACCGTGGCCACGATGTTGTTCTTTCTCTCAATGGCAAGTCTTGCGAGGCAGCGCGTCGACCCTGTGTGTTAACGTTGTTCTCTTTTTCGATCATACGTCAAGTTTCGAGGTTTCATGGTTTTGAAATTTTACATTTTTTTGAACTTCAGGTTTTCTAAGAAATTATCAAGTTGTGATATTGCTCAGAGTTCTCGGCATTAACTCTTTCTTCATCTAGGATTCATTTTTTGGTGCTACAAAATAAATAATAGTTTTTACCTTTAAGATTTTTTGTGCCACTGAAATTCTATATTATTTTTGACTTCTAGATTTATTTTTTCTCGCTAAAATTTTCACAAGCAGCCTTGATTGGTAGGATTACCTGCTACGCTGCGCTTACATCCGACACTATTTATGTAACAATACTATCAATATTCGCTGCTAATCTAGAATCAGTTAACTAGTCATTGTAACAGAAGAAAATAATTTGTGGGATTGAGTGAGCAAATGGTGTAAGCAGGGGAGGGTATGGATTTTCTCGAGAGAGGCATTTTCAAAAAAAATTCGGCAAATTTTCTCGACCGTTTTTTAACTCTCCCAAATCACACTGAAGACCCTATTTTATTTAAATTTTATACGCCGCAAGCAAACTTTCGAAAAAAGCAGGTCAAAAAAGGCGTTTTCAGGCACTTTTAGGAAATTTTTGCGTTTTTTGGTGAGCGCTTCAACCTTTAATCTGGTATATATTGGCGCCAAAAGCGCTTATAGAAAAATTTTAGGATCGGTCAGCAACAAAGAATATCCTTATGCAGCATCAAAAGGGGGACTCTCTGGGTGGATTGTAGGTTCCAATTTTTGAGGGGGTCGATTTCCTAATTCCCTAAATCCAAAATCATTCCCTAGAGGCAAAATTGAAGTGCTTATATTTAATATTTTAAAAAAAGAAGAAAACGAAAAAAAAACACAATTGTCGCGCTTTCTAAATGACATGTTCTTTGAAATAACTGAACCGGTCGAATTCGCTTGTATTTGTTCTTGTCAACCCGCTATTGAGATCACCAGTCACACCACTTAAACACGCCTTTATGAGAATAGCCACTTTGAACAATGTTCAAGAGCAGGCTCTAAGATGTTATGCGCACTTTAAATGGCCACTGTTTGCTATAATAACCTAAGAGAGAATAGTTATGAGTTTCTTCTGTTTACCGTTCACATTTACAGATGTTTGATGGCTCGTTAATCTGAGTTGAACTTGACAACGATACGATTTGCCCTGAATAGTACACCCCCTGAAATTCTGAATTGAAGTCAAAGCTTTGTCTGAAAAGGTTGTTTTTTCGTGCAGTAAAAGGACTCGCCTTTGTCTTTAATTATGTGCAGTACACTCGACGATACGTGCGTTAGCGTTGCCAAATTAGATCTTTCAAATTCTATAAACTCCGATTCGAACCAATCCGATGACAACCAAAGAGAAAAGCGACCGCACAGTGAACGAATTGCGTCGTCAAGTTCGGGTTCGTTTCTAGGCGACAGTTTGGGCGATGAACTTCATCCGAACGTCCGACGTCGTCAATCGTCCGGCCATAAAAGCGCTGGATTTGGGTCGAGTAATAACTCGTGTAACTCGCCTATGAAGATACCCCACAGGAGAGCTCGAGAACATCTTCTGAGTTGTTCGTCAGTTGACGACTTGGACGACTATTTGACGGCGAGTAGTGCACCGAATGCGTACACAATTGGACATTACTCTTTCGTCGTAAGTATTTTTCAATTGGCATGCATAATTGGTTCACCTTGCATTAAAGCTCCATTTTTTTGATTTGACGATAATGGATAAAATTTAATTTCCCTAACTCTCTCCTACTGTGGTAGCTAATAACGAATATCAACCCCTATGAAGAACAACTTCAACGGTTTAAATATACTGTTTTTGACCCATCAATCATTTATTACCTTTTGCAAATGGATGATAGTTAAAGAGATTCGATTTAGGTATCATATTGAATGAAATCTTTTTTAAAAATGTAATGTTTCTGCAGCTGTGCTAAAAATAATAATTTCAGTCGAAGTAAAGATTTGATTTTTGTCTTCAAATTTAACCTTATATCTCGTAAAACGAAGGTGTACCTTAGGAGTATTCAGTCGATTCACCCACCTAAAAAACGAAGTATTTACGTAATGAGTATTCAGTCGATTCACCCACCTAAAAAAAGGTGTCTAAAATAAGAAATTTTGCGAAATTGAAGTTTTGGGTGCTTACCTTAGCAAACGCTTCTGTTTTAACTTGCGAGAGCACGTGGCTTGTAGTCGGAAAATGAATTTTTCCAGTTAACAACTTTTACAGACGACAGGTCTCGGGTTTTAATTCCGGTCAGGCTTTTTTCGATTATGGATCTTTGCATGTATGTATGCATACCTTGCTTTATCAAAAGTCGATCAACATATTTCAAATTCTTATATAGGTCGTGATGATTTTTAAACTTTTTTTAAGCAGCTAGGAGATATGGCTATTAGTCTGGAGGTTCTTGAGTCGAATCCTGTAGTTTTTCTTGTTCTAGCTACATTGGTCTCTGCTTTGAAATTTTGATTGAATTGGAGAGATCGATTATGTTTGAGAGATAGAGAGTCAGGGAATTTTCGTTTATATCTGCTTTATTTGTTCGTCTCTTCAAATCTATCACTTCTCTCTCAGGGTTAGTAGATGGAGAAACCGTAGATGGAGAACCACCTGTTCAAGTGATAGCGTCTTTGTGCTGGTGTCGATACCTCTCTGTATAGCACAGTCGGGGAAAGTAGCGTAAATCGCGTTTTGTTTGTATTTTCTGGTTTTGCCTGTTCCATATTCCCGTCAAATCGGGTTAATTAATAAAAAATGGACAACAGAAGTTTGCTTTGTTCTTTTTGTTTCTCAAAGCGGTGCCGAGCTCTTTTGATCTTTTTTGTTTTTGTCCTTCGCACGTCGTTCACTTTCGTTCTAATTATTGGATAAAAGGCAAAGATCAATCTTTTCGTATTTTTTGGAAAGAAAACATCATGAACGCAGCGATATTCGATTTATGAAAAAAAACCTCACGCAGCGAGATTGGATCATTGTGACCTCAAACAAAAAATATCAAAAAAGTGAACCAAAAAAGTATCATTTCTTGAACCAAAAAAAATATATATAAATTCTGGACAGGAAGAGATATGAAAGTGCTTGTTAAAGATTTAAATTGGTCTGATGCTTAACATAAGACCTGTGGGATCGAGAAACGCCTACAACTTGAAAAAAAAATTTATTCCAAATTAATTACTTGTTTTCAAAAAAAGTTGTATAGTCAGCTCCAGTTATTGATACATTCTCTGGTAATTTAAACGATAAAATTTTCAAACCGTCATTTTTCATTCAGCGCGCAAGTCACAGTGGTAGTTAAAGCTGAGAAAATGAATTATTCATATAAAATAGAAAATGTAAAGATGTATATGTGACTGAAAACTATCCAAATTAATATTGACTTCATTCAAAACTATTACTGCAAAAGTGAATTTAAAAACTCAAATAAACATAATTAATCTTAATGTTGTTGTTTTTGTTACAAACTGTTTTCATGTGATTTGCAAAAAAGAGCGGTTTTTGGTTGCTTTTTTAGTTCTTTCGTTGATCTATTATATTGAGTGATCTATATAAATGAATTATCTTCCATATCTATCGTAAATAATGATTTCAACCTGTGGTGCTGCGGTCACAGTGGTTTGATTTCGATTGAATTATTTGTTATCCTTTATTGAAGCATACGCTATTCGGTAAGTACTGGTGTTACTTAATCTCCAAATATTTCTTTCTTTGCTGTTGGAGCTAAACTTTCTTTCTGAATTGCAGTAATAGGTTTTGTCGTGTTTTTTTTTATTGTGTGCAAACATTGAGGGTAAAATCACACGTTAAATTGACCAAAAAACCTAAAATACCGAAAATTGCACAAAAATAAGCGTGCCTTTGACTGATCATAACCAACTGATCATAACCAAAGCTTCCGTGAGGTTGAACGACTAATCAGCCCTTTTGCATGAGATGCGCAAACACCCGAAACAAAAACAAACCAGAATACTCGGAAAATTGATCCAATAAGCTCTTGGAATATTAAAACTTAATACTTGAAATACGGAAGTATATACAGTAGTCTCGTTATCTACGGTCTTTAGGCTAATTCTTTTGCCAGAAACACGCGGTATGCAGTTGCACTAATTTTAATCATATGACAATATCTGGGAGTTTATCTCGCAAAATCGTTGTTCCGACCATTTGAAAAATGGCGCGGAACTTAGTAGTTTGGTCTGTTTTTTCTTTTGCATCTCAAAATCAGGTATCACAAATAATCATCGGAATGGGTCGAGTAATATATCCAATTAAAGCCCTTTCTGTCGTGATTTGAACCATTTTTAAAATTTCCCAAAAGTTTGTCCCAGTATCGAGAAAAACTGGTTTCAAATTTTAGATTTTTGTCCAATTTCGAGCAAGAAAATTGAGCGAGAAGGCTTATTTCGTTTTTCAATCAAAATAACTTACAACAAATAATCATTTGAATGGTAAGATTGATTTATCATATTGAAATTCGTTCAGCTCTGATTCGAATGACATCAAAAATTAGCTAAAAGTTGTCCTATTTTTGAGAAATTTTAGTTTTACTCTGGTAACAAAAAATTTTCAAAGTTATTTTAGCGCAGTCATGGGAAAAAACTATAAACAATTCTTAAAATTATTTGCAAAAAAAATGGAAAAAAAGTTTCTTTTTAATAATTTTTGTGTCATTTTTTGACAAAATTATTGCTCAATTTACTGTTTTACCTCGATTGTCGAATGTGCCTAGGCTTTCGTCAGGTCCTTTCATCACACCACGCACAAAACGTTTTTGGTATCTCTCTTATTGATTATCCTTGATTTATCTGAAATAATGGTAATTTTACGCTACTTTTAGGCAAAGCCCAACAAAGAATCAAACGAGCAGTTTCGCTTGACTCGTGTCAGGTTGATTTTGTAATGTGCGAACTCGTCTTGGCCCATGAAGATCCAGGGATTGATACCCCTTGAGAACTTTTTTTTTCAAAAATCAGTTTGAATTTAAAAAAAAACAACCGAGTATATATTCCCCACTTTCTTCGGAAGTTGGAACAATATTCTGTGGTTCGGCAAGAGAGAATTATATGGGACACCGCTGATTTAGGAATGTTTTTTGTTGTTGTTGATATTTCCACCCGGGACGATTACCATTATTGAGTGATTTCTCGGTTACATGACAAAAGATTCCTTACCTTAAGATCCCAAACGAGAAGATCCCAGTCAATATGATACCATTCCAAAAGATACCTCGTTCTAAAATCGCCCACGAAATAAGATACCGTAATCAAATAACAAAGAACCTGAGAATTGAAACTAAAGCGATTAATCGATCAAAGCAACAACAATGCGTCGGTTAAAATCAAAGAAACGTCAAAATATTTGCTGCACAAATTTCGAACGTAAAAGACCTTGCTAATCACTTGGCCTTCAAATTGAAACTCAAACGTCCAAATAACCTAGGCTACAATTGAACTTGAAAAGAGTTTCCAATTAATCCAAACCAACTTTGCGAAAAATGGCCTGATTTTCAGACAACTCATGTCGTTACAAAATTGAAATTAAGTTTTTGCAAAATTCTAAAGCTTTGAAATCATTTTTATTACAAATCACTTGCCATTCTATTTGATAAAAATTATTATTTCTCAATTTTGATCAATTTTTCCTACGCTAGACGCATTACTCAAGGGCCGTCAGGCCCCTACCCCCAGCCTAGCGTCCCGTAAATAAAGGCAATTGCTCTGGTATCAAATTGCTAGAGACAACATTTTCGAATGCGAGTCGTAGTATTGCATTTTGGCGTTCTCCGGGAGGGTGCAAGGAGGTGTCTATAAAAGAGCTGCTCAAACAACTTTAAATTAAAAAGAAATTAGGCCAAAACTAAATGAAAATTTAATAGGTTAAATGGACAAGTGAACAGATATAAAATAATATGTTAGAATATGTGTATGAACTCGTTATCTGTGGAACTTTTTCATTCGGATCATGATAATTTTTCCGGGATCAGTTTATAATACCGCTGGATGCTTTCAAATAATTTGATTTTTGATTGTAGGAATCCAGTTGCAGTTTTTCAAGAAAAGTATAAATTGAAGCATGGCTGCCTTGAAACAAAGCGCATACACCTAGTTGCCATCCTTCAACTGCATTTGTGGTTCGGGCTAGACCACACACAGCATTTGATAATAGGTCCATAAAAAAAAATAGGAAAGTGTTTTTCGGCCAGTCAAATTCCCTTTAATCTGCGTTTTTTCGGAAATAAGTCGTGAGCTCGTCTAATTTTTCGAGATCGTTTTGTGAATTATCCAGTTTTGTTGCCACGCTGCATATTTCGTCAATTACTAGGTCGATTCCGATTTCCGCTTTTGACTCCGGCACAAAACTAAGAGCAAGAATCATGTTCAGCGCTAAGACTAGCTCACTGTTTGATTCGTAAGCCTTTTTAAGGCCCAATTCGCATATCTTCCGCTTAAAGCTCTGACAGAGGTTAAAATAGCAACCCTCAATGTCAACTTTGTAATGAGACGCAAAATCACTCAACGCCGCAATTTCAAAGTCGGTCATTTTTTTTTGCCGGGGTTATGTCACAGGTAAGCGATTTAAGTGCGTTTAGGAACTTATTATAGGTTGATAAGCGCTTATTGCTGAGCAGAGCGTAGACGCAA